AATTAGTGTCACTGGACATTGAATTGATGTATGGTTTATGAACTTCTACCAAGATTACTGAACTGAGATGTGGTCACAGGGTCCAGAGGAGTTTCGTGTGAATAAATGAATTACTTACCTTGAAAAATGTCTATACCTGTCGCTTAGCACGATTAATTAGCCCAATGGGATCTTTATAAATCTACTGTAAACGATTTCTTCGCTTCTTATCTGACCCAGATCGACTTTTGAAAATCAATAACCGCAAGCCATATCCTTGCTGGCGCACGGCACGTCGCTCGAAGGGTGACCCAAGGCCGTCGCCCGGAGGGCGACCGAGGCACGAAGTAGTATTTTATACTGTAAGCCGATCTTGCGAGCCCTCAGTCTCTTGGTTTGCGGTCTATAGAATGTGTAACAAAACCGTAATGCGATCAAAATAACCCATTTTGTCAGAGGTTTTCGACGGGTTTTGATGTTCTAACGACAAACACATCTCCTCTGGACCCTGTGATGTGGTCAGGTCATTGAACTATGGTCAGCATAAGAGAAAACCTGCACTTGCACCCCTAATCCAACTTAAACTCGATCTAGCTGTCTTGCCCAAAGTAATAAAATACTTTGCTCCTATAATTCCTTGATTTTGGAAAAATGGAAATTGGGTTGATGTGTGTTTCTTGAACTAATACTGTGATAAAAGCACGTGTACAGTTGCCCCTTCCCCTCAGAAAAAATTGCTGTGCATGGGCTACTGAGATTATTGAATGGGCATGTTGTCATTGAACTGACTTCTGTTAAAAAAGGGTTAAGCCCTTTCCCCTTCTAAAACATTTGTGGGTCCCAATAAAGTTACATTGAGACTACAAACCTGGAGTTTGAATGAGATGTAGTAGTGTGGTCATTGATTGACGAGTAAAGACGATAGCAGTTCGTGCGCCATTTTGAGGCCTGGCAAAAATGCTGTCCTTCAACCTCCCCTTGAGAAGTTCCAAATAGGGCAATAATTGCCCTATTTGGAAATTATTAACCATGTGCAACACACTCTTTATCAGGTTCTCAAACATGGTGACGAACCAAGCGACTGTGAATCTTCCTGTCTCTGTTACAATTGTTATATTGAGGGTTTAGGATTGCATGCTGTTTACACTGCGCGTTATGTTATAAGAATTAAGAAACGTTTACGTAATCGAATCAAAATTGAAAGCCAATAATCGAAATCGAATCGAATCACAAGGAATATGAAACTAATGATAACAATAACAAAATCTCTTACAAAAGATGAAATCGATAAATATATTTTAGCATTAATTATTGTACAATATATAGAGGATATTACATGGCTGCGCAGAGATACAAAGTTTCTCTTCGAGTGTTGGAAAATATTTCATGAGTGGGCGCAGCGAACGAGTGAAATATTTTTTCAACACGAGAAGAGAAATTTCGTATCTCCAAGCAGCCATGTAATGTTCTATTTATTATATAAACACCAATGAAATACCAAACCATTTCACTTTAATAGTTTTTTGGTGTGAAAGGCGCAATTTATTATGTAAGATAACATGTTATTTTCACATGTGAAGATACCAAGTTTTCACGCGAAAGCTCACCTGCTACTTCATTGGTGTTTATATAATAATTAAAAATACTAAAAAAAATTAAGCTAGAACAGACTGCCTTTATAGCCGGAGATTTTCGTTTCCCTCATCAAGATTGACAGAGGTAGTCCAAAATAATTGATTGATCAATGCTGGCACCTTCCTTCTCTTCAACCCCTTTCCTGATCCGAAAATAAAGTTCATTACTTATCCCTCGAGAATCTAGGGATCTTATACCGAGAGTTAGGTAATTGTAAGTTTCAACAATTCAAGTTATGCATTTTTATTTATTTTGTCAAAAGCATCCACTGAAATATATCCATCTGTCCCTGGTTTCATAGTTAGTAACGTCGCAGACTTAAATCTTGGTGTAAGACATAATGTGGTCTTGATAATCAACTCCTGACCTTGCACAATCTAGCTAGGCCTTGTACTTCTTTCAATTCACAAGGTTACTTGCTCGTTGTTCGGTGGATTTGGCCTAAAAGAGCGAAAAATAGAAACATAGTCGCCGGCGCTGTACTTTACTAATCCGGATTCTGCAATAAACGACAAGTTAAATACTAAAATCTAAGACTTACCCGATACCGTCAAGTCATCAAATATTTTGTTAGAAGTCTTCGATTAGAATCCGACTCCTTTGCAGCCTGTCGGTTATTTCTACCTCAGGTTTTGAATTTTTGAGCCATTCACCTGTCTACTCAAAGTTTACAATGTTTACAACAATATGCTACTAAAATTGATCGCTTCCAAGACTTAAAAAGACCAAAAATTGGGCCGTGCCAAGAAAACGACTTTTTTGCCAAGAAAACGACACAAGATCTGGCAGGCGTTCGCCTGCCGTCTGTACCCTTCCCATGGTCCCTTGTGGTTCATCACCAGTCACTCGTTTCGCGCTCGCCTCTGCCATGCGAAAAACGAAGCGCCTGAGGAGGAGGCTGATGAGTTGATTTTTTTGCTAACCCCTGGTTTTCAACAATTCAGGTATATATAAAAGATGATTATTATTTTCCGAAGTTTTGAATATTAAATTCGTGCGCAGAGCATCTTCGGATCAATTTTTTTGTAGTCTGCACTTCTAAGTGGAAGTTACTGCGAAGCTTTTGTGATATATCTAAAACGTACATCAGGTGCTAACCCCAAGGGAACGGATCGGAAGGAGGAGGGGATTGGATGGCATCATAAGACCCTGTTTACATGGAGTGGGGGACCCCGGTCTAGTGGGGTAGGTTTCTTTTGTTTTGTGTCCTCTAGAGCGTGAAAACAAAAGAAACCAACCCCACTAGACCAGGGTCCCCCACTCCATGTAAACAGGCCCTAAGTTAAAAGTTTTTGTAGATGAATTTTTAACAGACCATCTTTCTTGCTTGCACTTGCATGTTTTCAGTTAATGTGACCTTTACATGTGTCATTAACTCAAAGCTACTCACGATCAGTTCAGAGTTCACTCACGTTCAAAGTCGGATAAGAAAGCACAACTGTTCTTTGAACTCGTTTTTGTTGTTGTTTGTTTTCTTTTTTGTATCAATGTGTGTGACTCAGGAAGAATTGGCTCTAATTTCTAAAATTACGAAATGTAGGCGGGTCATCAAAAATATATACTTCCTGATCCTTTGCTCATAAATTTGTGTTTGCTAGACAAAAACTTTATTGTGTAAGACATGTTCCAGTTCGCATATATCACCCAGCCCGCAGCCAAATTAATACAAGCTGCAACCACCCCGCTTTTTTTATCATACTGTTTTCCTACATTTCACTACCAGAAAAAAAGATTGAAGTACTTTTTGCTCTTTCTCGTCTCTCAGTTTTGAGCTTAGCTGATGAAAAAGGCTGATTCGACTTTATTCAACAAATTTGAAAGTAAGGCATTAACATAACAACAATAGTGCCTTTTAAATTATTTATTATCCCATCTCCATACAGACATATTTTCAGTTAAATAAAAAAAATGTGAGAGCTTTCCTTAACCTTAAACCTTAACCTTCACCAGGTAGTTTAACTAAGCGTTTAATCTTAAATTTCCTCTTTGCTGAGACTTGCTTGCTCCCTTGAAAGTCGTCTTCATTTTCCAACGCGTTTAGTGATTTTGCAAATCTCAAACTTCCAGCGGCGATCCCTGAATAGAAAAAATTAATATGAAAATGTAAAATGGGGCACTCACGAGCAATTTTCAATTGTGGAACATTTGACGTGGTGGTGAACTAAAGAAACTGTCAGTGTGTCTTCGCTCTCTTTGATTGGCCACCTTATTTGGCCGAGGGTAGTGTTTGCATGAGATTTCTTAAACACTGTGCACACGTTAAGACACGATTATGAAAAACGTTTTTAACTCAAAGATCTACAAGTTTTGACCTTATTTACCCATTTCTTCGACGGTTAAAGCTTTTAAAATCTTCGCCAAACAACTCTTAGTTTATAGCTTGTAAACACGACATTTTTAGTAAGAATAAGCAACACTCTCTCGTGCGTATTTCAGGCTATGCAAACGCGAAGCTAAAAGGAAGTTCAGTTTCTTTTCCTTTGACGTCGTTTATACTAATTTAAGAAACATTTTGAGATTGTGTTTCCTATTTGCAATGATAAGGATCCTTTAAAAACCATGCTGAAGTTCAGCTTCTCTTTCTACATATTCATCGCACAATGCAGCAGTTTCCCTGGTACGTGATGCGGCAGTGGAGCTTGTACAAATACCGTATTTATTCGATTAACCGCCCTGGGCGCTTATTAAATTTTTGGACCTTGAGAGTGGGCGCTTATTCGAGGTGGGCGCTTATTCGTGGCTGGGCGCTTATTAAATTTTCACCATTTTCACCAAGTTTAGTATGTTTATTTTGCAACAAAACAATGAATGCTGGTAATAACAAAACGTGAATCATGTAACAAATCAAGGTTTCTATAAAATGCTCTGTGAAGAAAACTCCTTCTTCGGGGAAGTTGCAGTCTCAGTCTTATTAGTACTTATTCAATTTCAATAGGACAATTGCACGATGACGTCATTTGACTACAACTACCAGAATCCTTGAGTTTGTTGTTTTCTTATGCAAATTAAGGTTATTGTTCTGTAATCCTCAGCGGGATTGACAAATTTAAATAACAAAGCAAAACCGAAATGAATTGTGGTAGTTGTAGTCAAATATCGTCATCGTGCAATTGTCCTATTCCAATCTCACTGTCACTAAAGTGGGTGGGGTTGGGGGTGGGCGCTTATTTGTGTTTGATTGGGAGGGGGAAGGGGGTGGTGTGGGGTGGGCGCTTATTAACTTTTTCAGCCTTTGTGATGGGCGCTTATTCGATGCGGGCGCTAATTCGAGGTTGAGCGCTTCTTCGAATAAATACGGTATGTTGGAACCCAGCGTAGTTGAAGAAGAGGTTATTTTAATTCTGTGCACCTTTCGCTTCCAGGGACTAAGCAAGTTATCTCAACACTTACTCATAACGGTTATCGTGATAACTCTCCACTCCAGACAGATAGTATCCATAGGGAACATAGTACTTCAATTCCTGGTCCCAGTTGTTCTTATATAGAGTGTGATGGCAACTGTGCTTTAAATATCCGTTTATATAACAGCAGTGGAACCGAAACCTGTCATTGGAAACACAGAAAGAAAAAAAATCAACTGAACAACTGATAGTGACCTTATTTGCGGAAGCTATTATCAGGTCCGCCTTGGGTTAGTTAATGGATCTTACTTTCGGGTTGTACATGCAGTGTATTACTGTTAAATGCTTTTACCACGAAACAAAACTTCTTAACTGTGATGACAATTTTTCTGACAATTTTAACCACCTTTCATCTTCAGAGGAGAAGAAAGGTGAATGGTTTTTGTCTCTGGACCGATGAATAAAGGGTTAGTTTCTAATGAAGCTGTGCTACGTCGGTGAGGGAGTGAAAGGCAAAGAGTTGGTTTTATCAACTGTGTTGATAAAATTAAATCTTTGCATTTTCCTGGACTGTGAATTTACCACTTATAAGGAAGAGCATTATAGAGTGGAGAAGTGTGACGTCACGTTACCATGGTAGCATAATTTCTGGATCTCAATAATCTTTCTTTGCAAAGAAAGCCATTTGCATTGTCAAACGATGAAAGAAAAGCATGGGCTACTGTTTTGATCCTGAGTGACAAAATCATGCACAGGGAACTCACACAAGCCATGCCACGGTTTTGTTGAGATCCAGAATTCTTTGCAACCATAGCAACGTGACGTAACGATTTCCCTCTGATAAAGCCCCAGTAGGATTGTAGTAATAGAATGTTGTTTACGTGCGGTCTCTGTGAGGGCCGCTGTAATCACTTGCCACTCCAGTAATGAAGCCATTGCAGGGGCATTTGAAGTTCACTCGCCCGTCAAAGTTATTCACAGTGTATGTCCAAAAGCAGTTGCTCGCACTGTATGACGCTGGACCATACCCACACTGGAAGTAATGGATGCGGTCTTCTTTGCAGTTGCGATGCTGGCTGCGCCATGACCTCAAATAAAAACCTAAAAATTACACCAACAAGAAATGAAATGACCCAATAAAAAGCAGACATGTTTCAAAATTGTACGGGACAATTTGTCATCCTACTTTTTCTATACCATTTATTTTACCTTTAAGATCATACGTCTTTATAATTAGTGTGAATCAGAGAGCAAATGAGTGCCGGATTGTAAAAAAAAATAAAGGAATATTGAAATATTTATCCATCACTTTGTCCGAGCCTGAGAGAATCATACGTTCGCTTCTAAGGACAAACGAATCTGTCTGTCGGGATGAAGAAAAAGAAGGGGAAAAATAATCTCCAATTCATAAATAAAGACTGTATATACAAAGGAATCTAGCTTTAAAATTGTAACAAATGCTTCGGGGTATGTTTATTACATGCAGGGAAAGCGAGTGAGTTGCATCTTTACAGGAAAGCAGCGTAAAAGAAAGGATTATCGTTTAGTGATTCTACATAAATGTATATGTACAGCAACTGGCTTACTGGTTTTGCAACTGAAGGAGAAAGGTTGTTGCCACTGGTTCACCCATGCGACTCCTTCTGGCTTGGACGAAGAGCAGTGCGGCGGCGGAGGCCTACGCCTACGCCTACGACGTCGCCATGCTTCAGTCGACGAAAACAACAGCAGGTCAACAGCTATCAGCAACAACAGAAATTTCGCCATTTTGCTTCCATCCATGGTCGTCTCAAAACTGGCAAGAGAGGAAGAGCAAAAGAAAAAAAAAGAAAATCACTCTTTTGTTGGCAATCTCTAAAAAGTTCTGACTTCTTTTCCTGATAGAATGAAAACTGACAGGCTTTAACTCCAATTAAGGGACGGACCATTTGAAAAGTTATGGGGTGGGAGGGCGAAGTACACAAAAAATGTTCTTATTAGGGAAAATCTATGAAAAAAAAAGATCATACACGCCAAGTAGCACTAAAAAATATTCCTGCGCTGGCCTAAAAAAATTCATGCACCTCGAAAACTACCACTCCCACCACATAAAAATTCTAATGGTCCGTCCCTGACGATTTTAAGATTTCCTTTAGTATCGCGTATCATACGGACGAAATGACTTGGATGAATTGAACTTCTTAATATACAGACATTAGAGTTTTATGATCATTGCGCGCTACCTGAAATATTTGTTATATCAAGAGCAAATTTTACGTAACCAGCTTTTAGCCACGGAAATATCCAGTTAGACAAAACATCAATTTGACCAAAGAATTATTTGACCGTAAATCAAGTCATTTACCCACGTCGTAATAATTGAGTTGAACAGAAAGAACCGGCCAAAAATATCTTTACCAAGGAATCTCGAGCTACTCCAGCTGGTTGTGAAACAGAGTGCACATTGATCTGTATTTGTTGCCTTTATTCAATGATCGAATCACAATAATTTCGCCGATTGTTTCATTATTTACTATGAACAGAAACAAGTTGAAGACACGTTTGCAATGCATGTCTTCCTTGCTGGCTCAGTGTTTATTTATCTGACACTTTTTTGATCTTTGCCTTACATTCGCGTTATCTGAGAGATGTAAAGGGCAGCTCTAACTTTTTGTTTTTTGCGCGATTTGCTGCGATCTCTTGGGGATACGATATTCTAAGCTTTATCAAGAAAAAGATAATCTGTGTCTTATTTTCTCTTGCCTTTATGGAAAGGTTCACCTAGGGAATGTCATTTGACGTAAACAGTATCCGCCAAATTTAAATTAAAGTAGTATCAAAATTTTGTTTAAAACAACGACGATTTTCGCAACAACACAGTACGGTATGAAATCACCACAGTAAATTTAATGTCAAGTAGGCGAGCGAAACTTATGTCTATCTAGTTCGGCCGCCGAACAGCAGAGACTCACCTTTAGTAACTAAGGCCTTGGCTTTAGCTTGAACAACAATTAATTAAGAGAGTTCTGTTGGTATTAGTGATAGAGAATAAACGCAGAAATCTGCCGTATTTTATAGCTTGATGTGAACATAATACAGACATTCTTACGTAAGACTATTTTATGGCCACAAGTTCAAAACACGTTTGAAAGAAAAACAAATGCTAATTTTAAAGTAAGTTGAACAAAAACGTGATCGAAATTACGCGTTTGCCCCCAAGGTCTTTTCTTTTCACATGTTTGATATCAACTGAACCAATGTTTTATTATCATTAGAATTTTTTCCAAAAACTGAACCATATATGACAGAAATACAAAACAACTTGGTCTTACATGAATATCGCAATGATAAGAGCTAGTTTCACTGGTCGGGCGGTCAGGATCATTTTATTCTTTTCGTGGATATATAAAAAGAGCGTAATGTCTGTGTTCAATAACCAAAAAAGATCTTTAGCATTTTTCATTTGCGGTTATGCTGTAGAATTATACTTTTTGTACTGAAATAAAAGAGTGGGAAAACGCTCTTACCGCCAAGTTTATACACCCATTATTCCACTTCATGTCGACAACCAGGAGTTGTGAAACTGCCTCAGGTGCCAAAAAGCAGGAAGCCTATTGCGGAAGATCTTATTAGTATAACGAGATGAAAATAAAAAAAAGAGCTGCAATACAGGCGACTCCCGATAACTCGAACCTTCTAGGGAGATCGAAAAAAGTTCCAGTTAGCGGGAGTTCGAGGAATCGGTATAGTTGACGGAGTAAACAACTGGAAATATGGAAATGGGTTGGGGAATGAATGATGAAAAATGCCACTTCAAAGATTGATAAATACACAGTGTTGGACGCTGTATTTAAACTGGACTGAAAAAAAAAGTAAAGACTAAGACAAAAATAATTTCAATCTTCCGGACTGCTTTACACTTTTTCTCTACTTGTCAGGCGCTTAAAGCATGGTTCGATGGGGTAAATTTATAACATGATAGAATTGATCTGAAGGGAAACGAAAATTACTTCGAGTTAACGGGAGGTTCGAATATTGAGGGTTTGTGTTACCGATCTAGAGTAAAATCCTAGTAAATGTAGGAAGGAAATCCAGGGGAAATCGATTTTGGTTCGAGTTAGCGAGGGTTCGAGTTATCGTAAGTCGACCGCAGATTTAACAAGTCGACATGAACACATTCATAACAGTCGACTCTGTTTTGTATGTAGATAACTAATTATAGTTTATTAAGTAATAAATAAAGGTATTGAATTTCGATAGCAAGGGTTCAAAATTATGATGATTATTCCTGATTATTACAAGTCCATGCGATATAATAGATCCAAAGCTAGTCGACTTAAGTAGCCCTTTTTGTTTTTTCGCTTAATATTGCCTTATGTTGATTAATTGAAAGTAGTTGACATGGGCTTGTTGTATGATTTCACATTGCCAATTCGGTTTTCGCATTCCCATGGCCAATTTACAGTACGTTCGTTCAAACAACGTGCTGATTGTAGAAGTTATTATTAAAACGGCCTAATTTGCTAAGTTGTCAATAACGAAAAAAAAGAAGTAAGGAGTTGATAATATTCTTGATAAAATTCAACGATTGATACTGTTCTGTTTCAATGAAGGCGATTGCGAGTCGTTACATGAAGACTAAACCTCATGAAACCTCTGAACTTTATGGACTGATCTCTTTCATGTGGCCAAGCTGACTGTGTCAAAATGGAGAAATACGAAAATCGCAAAGTACATTTAATTCGCTCTGGTTCTTTACCTTCATATGAAAGATTAAGAAAAATTTTACTCGCGAAATACCGACATGGCTTCCGCATTTTCGTGAAAATAAGGGCAAGAGTTGATAAGAATAATAAAAAAAAAGGGCTGGAAAAGAAATGATCATTGAGTTCTTTTATTCAATTAAGGCAGCACCATAGCAGACCTCGACTAAACAACTTTAGTTAAATCTCGGAGCTTTAAGCGTTGAGCCTACTGATAATTGTGTTCATATGCAACCATACCCAGCGTACTGCCTTTTCAAAAAACCTTATGGCGCATTCAAATCAATGACAGATGACAAAATTTTAACCAAATAATAGCTCGATACAGTCATCTAAAACTATCACCTTTTTTAGTAATGAAGATTTGTAAGAACACTTACCAGCCAGCTGGTCGTTTAATAACAAGGGTCACCAGGAAGGTACTTTGTTTAATTTGCACTAAATAATTGCAAATACAAATTTCTCATCTTCTTTATGTCGCCAAACAAAACATAAAAAAAACCTCAAGTGCCTCAAGTCATTGTCAAGTGCCAAAATGCAGGGAAGCTGAATAGTACAACTTTGCATAACAATTCGGCAGTGTTAAGAAAGAACAAAACATTCTACAGCACAAAGATATCCAAATACGGTTGGAGACTAAACAGCTTACGGTGTCTAGAGCATTTATAAACATCTCAACATTCATCAGAAAACCAAAGATAATCTTATCAAATTCCGATTCACAGAATTGTTCTAAGTCAACCCAATTTTCATCTTGATTTTAGTGGATACAAAAGCATTGAGAAAGCTTTCACTTTATACAGGAGCACCCAACGACTATGAGTTTCTGATTCCTCGGAGAAGCGAATATTGCCTAGAATTTTCTATTGCTTGAGGGCAGCTACAAATTTCTAGAAGACCGGTCCGTTCACGTTCCCAATTAAGGGTTGAATATCTGTAGTCTTCTAATTTTCCTCAGAGGCAAAGTCAAAGATTCACCTCAGTATGGTGAATCCACGAATTGTTTTTTGCTTGTGGAATACGGAATCCTGCGGGCTTTGGAATCCGAAATTCAGAAGGAATCCGGAAATTTTCCCTACTTTATAGCTTGATGTGAACATAAATAAATATAAATATTCTTACGTAAGACTATTTTTTGGCCAGAAGTTGAAAACACGTTTGAAAGGAAAACAAATCATATCATCCTAATTCTAAACATGGTCAAAATTACTCGTTTGCAGCATCTCTCGCTTTACGTCGATCTCCTTTGATGATCGACTTGATGGATGTCTCACCTTCTTCAGACAACTAATTTATTGCTCGACTCAGCGTCTCATTAGTAGACGATGACTATCACAGACACTGTTCTCAACATAATTTTATTGCAGACAGTCAGCCACAGGGAGTTAAAAAAATCGTGCAACAGGGAACTATATAAAAAATAATATTAGTTAAGCGGAGGCTTTAATTTATAAATAATGTTTTTTTCTTTGTTAGTTCCTCGGTTTTCCTTGATAGTGAGGCTCAGATTTAAGTTACTACGTACCCTAACAAATCATTTCTTCTTCGCAGGTATTAGTGTTCTGTTTTCCAAATATTTCACTTCCCCAAATTCAAACATGTTTACAGCTGTAGATCAGCCTCATTGAAATGAAGGATAAGACTAAGAGAAAAGTCGACTGCTGTCCTCAGAAAACGCCAGAAAGTAAATTTTCCTTGTAAATACGGCTGACGAAATTATTTTCGTTTTATGAAAATCTATGGGTTATTTGTTTAAAGATGTTTTGCTTTTTAACGTCGCCGGGCAGTTACAAAATTTTTAAAAAAAGCGAATTATAAACCCAAATTCTTCATTGAATGAACTGCCGAGAACTGAAAAGAATTGCTTAGACCTTCAGTTTGTTTCTTTTAAAACGGAATAATTTACAAAAGAAAATGAAACACCTAATCCAAAAAAGTATTTTCTTTTCACATGTTTCAGATCAACCGAACCAATGTTTCATCATCATTAGAATTTTCCTTCGCTTAGCAATTTTATTTCTACACTGAACCATATAAAACAGAAACACGAAACA